TTGATATCACAGCCTGGTTCTTAAGTTTGAGTTTGCTAATGGGTTGTTTTCTTTAGAGACCAAGTGTATAGACTCAGAGTAGTGGTTTTTATGCATGCAGTCATTTTAGGTAATAGATTATAGAATATATTTTTCTATATATATATAAAGTCCTATTCAAGGATTTTAGAATTCATGAAGTACACCGAAATATCATTTAATTTGTATTAAAATATCTGAGGTCAGATAGTATATCCATTTTATAGTCCGGAAAGTGATGTGTGAAATGGTAGTGTTTGTGTAAAGCCAAGAAATAAATTTAATCTTGACTTCTAAAATGATTAAGCTGTCATAGTAACCTAGAGGGATACTGTATAAAACAAAAGCTGTGGTGTCTATGGGTTTGCATTTTAACACCCAAACCTGACCAGGAAAATGTTCTTGAACATGATGTATTGGGTACTGATAATGAGATTACTTCATCAACTTAGCAATGAAATAGCTTCAACCTTACAAAAAAGTGCAATTAGAAATATTGCTTCTAACTGTCCAAAGAAGGAACAAAGATACATACCAATGCCTAAATCATTGTCAATATACATATCTCCCAAAGAAACCAAGCATGTTAGATTTTCCATTTATGCCACCAGTTTATCCTGAGAACTTGACACTTAATAGGCACTCAGTATATATATATATTTAAATGAGTAAACATTGAAGGAGGATTAAGCAGTTTACATGTCCATGATTTTTGTATTATTCATGAGGAGCTTAGAGCTACTGACAGTTAAGTATGTTAAAAATGTAAAGGAATGATGGTGGGAGTGGGGGCAGAAATAATCATTCCAAAAAATAAAGAGAAGAAATAAAGAATATTTTACTAAAGTCAAAATCGAGTAAATAAAATCACGAGTATCCGAAAACACGAAAAAGACAATTCATACATATCTGTAAACACAATAATTATATTGTTGATTAAAATAGGAATTCTCAGAATAAATTTTTAAAAACTATTTAGTATCTATTTTAAAAACACTTAAAATACAAAATTTGAAAAAAAATGAATAGAATAAATCAGGTATTCCTACTGAGGCAAAACAATTTAATAATATCAATATCAAATACTTATAAAGCATCAATTCAATTAGAAAAGATAATTATACAATGATGAAAGGAACCATTAATAGGATAATAAAATATCTGTGACTTACCTGAACCTTAACACAAAATTTTACCCTGAAAGAAATTCAAGTAGAGAATTACAAATTCAAAGTTGTGGTAAAAATGTTTAAAATATATTTCTTGAAATATATTTCTTGAACATATAAACAAAAATTATATAGTAATTATATATATTATATATAGTATAATTATAAAAATAATATAATAATTATATAGATTTGACAGCACTATTAACAATTTTGTACCAAATAATTTATATTTAAACCCATATGCAAAAAATAAGATTACATTTTAAGCATAGAAGTATGTATATCAGGCAAGTTCTAATCAGAAGTGAGAAGAAAAAATAAATATAATAGATACCATAAAGCAAAATAAAAAACAACATTAATAACCATAAAAGAAAAAAAGAAATGCATATATTTGGATTTAGCAATAATTCAAAATGATGACTGGATCAAATATAAAATAATAACAAAAATCACAAAAGGTAAAGAATGGAAAACAACAAGAAACTTAAAAGTTTAGGGATATGGTTAAGTGATGTTTAATAAATCTATAACATTAAATGCATATATTGCAAACAAAAACATGTTTATGGATTAGTCTACTAATCACTTAATGCAAGAATTATAATAACTAATTTCAGGTTGAACGAAGAAAACAGAATAAAAAATAAGACAATAATGTAATGGAAAACATATTAGGAATTCTCTGAAAATGAAACTTTATTTAAAGGGAGTCTTAAAATAGACAAAACCTAAGAAAGTATTCAACGGAAAACAGAAATAAAAAAAGTGAGACTTGGCATGTAAAAAAGTTATTTAAAAATACTGAAGAGTATAATGAGTTATTTTAGGATTCAAAATTGAACATTTAGAGACGATATAGTATTTTAAAGTGTGTACAAAACAGACTAATAAATTTAAACAGAAGTTGGGAATATACACACTACCAGAAAAGTTTGCCAGAGAATTTAAGATATAACTTTCAAATTATACCTTAAAGTGTAATCTACTTCTTGAGAGCTGTAATTACTCTCCTGTGTATGTTATTTAAGAAATCACAAAAAAGAGGAAAACTTTCCATCTACCAAACTAAGATAATTTCAAACTGAAAATGTATTTCAAAAATAAATATTTCAGGACTGTTTTGATTTTAAATTTAAAATATTAGCAAATCTAATTATCAAGCTTATAAAAATCAATATATCATGCACGACCATGTATGATTTAGCATTAGAAAAATATTCGTTGTAATCAACTACATTTAAAAAATAAGGTAAAATGCAAATATGGGGCTAGGAGGTATATGGGATATCTTGGAGCCTTTCACTCATTTTTCATGTGTATAGTAAAACAGACATAACATAAAATTTATTATCTTAACAATTTTTAAGAGTACAGTTCAATGACATTAGATACACTCACATTGTACAACTATCACCACCATCCATCCCCATTACTCTTTTTATCTTGTAAAGCTGTAACTGTATACTGTTAAACAGGAATTCTCCATTCTTTCCTCCCTCAATCCCCTGGCAATCACCATAACACTCTGTCTTTACAATTTTGATCACTCTAATCTCATATGAATGGAATCATAAAGTATTTGTTTTTTTGTGACCAGCTCATTTCACTTAGTGTAATGTCCTCAAGTTTCATCCTTGCTGTAGCACATTGCAGAATTCCCTCCCTTTTTAAGGCCAAATAATATTCCTGTGTGTATGTGTATGTGTGTGTGCATGCCACATTTTTCTTATCCAGTCATTGACGGATGGACACTTGGGTTGCTTCCATGTTTTATTTACTGCAAATAATGTTGCTATAAACGTGGGTGTAGAAATATGTCTTCCAGACTGTTTTCAGTCCTTTCTGGTATACACTCAGAAGTGGAATTGCTGCATTACATGGTAATTCTATTTTTAACTTGTTGAGGAATTGCCTTCTGTTCAATTTTGCTGTGATTCTAAGTTGCTCTAAAATATAGAGTGTATTAAAGTATTTTTAAAAATAAAAAGAATATAGTTAAGATAAATCAAAGAAGCATTTGATTTTATCTATTTATAGTTAAAAATAAATTTAAACCAGGCAAAAAGGAAACTTTTGTAATACGTATTATAAAATAAAATTCAAAAATTACTTATTTAATGACCAAGACAGGGGTGACCACCATCTCAATTTCTGTTCAATGTAATGGAGATTCAAAAGTTAATGGATTAGTAAGGAAATAAAAAAATAAGACTCACAGGTTAGCTAATGTAATGACCTAGATGGAAATATCAGAAAACTTTAAGACAGACATTTTATAACATGAAATTTCTTGGAAGAAAACTGTGCTGTATTCTTTCAGGATTGTGTTTATTTATCCACTGATTTGTGCTAAATATTATTACATATTATCGGGTGTTTAAGAAAATGTATCTTCTCAATTACTGTAAGTTTCCCATTGAAACCACACACTTGAATGTGTTATTCTTAGAGTTCAGCAAAAACTCAGATATTTTGGATGAAAACAGCTCTCTGTGGCCCCATGAACTTGAAAAACTACCTTAGCCTCTAGGATTCTCTGTTCTATAAAATAAGATGATTTGTTTCTAGCTCCTGGGGTTGGATTACGAATTCAGTTCTATTAAAATGCTTAGTTAAAATCCTTGCAAGATAGGAGGAGAATTAATATTTATTTGGTCAGTTTGAATAAGGTTCTAGATGTCTGTTTCCTCAGTCAGGACAGTAGCCACTCAGGCCTGATACCGTGAGATTGCTTTGGAGTCAGAAAGCTAAGAAAAATACGTGCACAAACATCTATAGAAACTAAGTGAGGCTGGAAAATGATGACTTCTGACATAGCCAGCTGAAACTAGGGCTTGGAAGATTTTGTGGAGAATTATAAATATACAAAGTATCTAATAAAATTAACAAAACAATGAATATGATTCTAAAGAATACTGGTACTAATATACTTTACTTTTAATATATTATTAGAGCATAGTAATTATGGAAAATTCTAATATTGTGACATATCAAAGTCAGTACATTTTCCAATATTTAGGTTAATTTCACACAAAGTGCACTTCATGATTTCTGTGGAGACATTGGGAAATTATTATGCCGTCCATCTCTTCTACCAGGCAACCCCAAATCTCTGCAGAAGATTAAAAGATTAGCTCTGGCCCCAATTATGTACTTACTGTGGGTGTACTGTACTCAATTCGTCTTAAGTAGGAGGTACTGTACTCAACTTGTCTTGAGTATAGTTGAATTTCAGTATACTCAGAGCTAGCTTACAGCTGTTGCAGATGAATTCTAAGATCTCATGATCAGTGAAGATAATCTCAGGGGCCTGCTGTGGTGGGAAAAAAGCCAGTTCCCTAAAGTTTTAAAACCCATGTCAGCCTGACATAATCAAACCCAGGAGGATGTTGTAGTTAGGGACAAGTATTAACATCTTGTCATTTAGCTAACATTCTAATTTGAGTTCCATAGAACTAACTTACTTTTATTAAAACAGGCATAAATGTGCTTAAAGTCTATGTTTTAGAATAGTTTTCTTTTTAAAGAATGCTTTTTGCTTTTTTTTTTGAAGGAAAAGCAGAATATAAAATCTCTTTCTCCTTATATGTATATTTTAAAGTTTTGTATATACAGAAATTGCAGAGGGATTTCCTCTCAATTTGTGTCTCTAGGAGTTGTCCAATTTTGAAAAAGGAAGGGCCTCCAAAAATAATTGGTTTGGTAGCTCTAGATATCAAATAATATTAAAGTGAATTATAAACCACCTGAAAATAGACTTGGAATTCTTGCATCATGTTGTGCTTGGCCTGGGTCGTCTGAACTCTGTCACTCAAAGCGAGGGAAGACTATAAACTTGGCTCTCTGATAGGCCGCCGAGTAGCTGATTCTCTCTGCGTAACCCTAGGAAGAGTTTTTAGGGTGAGTTCACTCATTCAGCTCAGTCCTACCCTTAACGCACTTACACAGACATACACAATTCAGAGAAGCACACTTTTTTATATATGTCTTTTTTATACGGTTCTATATCTATTACAGTAAAAACAATTTAAAAAAGGAAAAGGAAAAAAAAACTGACTTAATAAAAGATATATACAGAAAAGCCCACCTTGTATCATATTCAACAGGGAGTGTCAGACCCGATCCTATTCACATCAAGAACAAGTCAAAGATACCCAATGTCAGCCCACTACACTGTTGATTGTGAAAAGTGGGGAAAACGTGAAATTTTAATGCTTCTACAGTCAAAAAAATGTATTTCAAGAGAGCAGGAATAAATGAATTATATTAAATATTTCTGAAAGGTGATGCTGGATGAGAATGGAGAGTAACCTATTCAATTTAAGGTGGAAGGCAATGATGAAGTTACTAAAAGTAATTCCAGTTGATGGTGTGAATGAAAAAACTGCAAACCTATCAGTAAACAAAGAAAGCTGAAACCATCAAGTCCTCAGGCGCTGCCGCCACCCCCCAGTGAAGACAAGCCTGCAGCCCGGCCTCTGAAACTGCTCACAATGGTGCACTCTGAGAGGACTCAGAATAATAAAAGACAAGATACTGGCCCTAGATAGCTGGGTGCTTGTCAAAGGAATGAATTCAATGAGCCCAAATGTTTGCTTCCTCCCATACATAGAAAAGCACTAAATTCTTTAACTTGAGATGCCCGGTTTTCCTTAGACAACAAGTAATCTTTTATTGTTCCAACTACCTGGTCTTTGTTGTAAAGCTCTTACATGTCCTAGCTCCTCCCCTACCTCTTTGGAGCAGTCCCTCAGAGCCATCTGAGAGGCTGTCATCCCAGGCTCGAAGGGGTTCAAGTCCTCAGATATGTCCACCAAATAAAACATAACTCTCGACTTTTAGGCTGATAACATTGATAACATTGATCTTGATATTTCCACAGGACAACTTGGCTACAGACATGTGGTCGCAGTAGGTATGGTGTATTATATTGCCTCTACAATAAGGTAGTCGCTTGATAATGAAAGTCAAGGGAATGACAAGCAACACACCTCTCAAGAAAGTGGCAAGCCCAGCCTTTGCAATGACAAGATTGGTGAGGATAGTTGAGTAGCGCAGAGGGTAGCAGATAGCCACATAGCGGTCCAAGGCCATAAGCATGAGTACTCCAGATTCCATGCCTGTGAAGGTATAGATGAAGAACATCTGGACCAGGCATTCTTCAAAGCTGATTTCCTTAAGATGGAACCAAAAGATGCAGAGAGCTTTAGGGATTGTACTAGAGCACATGACAAGGTCAGTGAGAGAAAGCATGGCCAAGAAGTAGTACATGGACCTGTGCAAGGAATCCTCATAGCGAATGAGGTAGAGGAGTCCACAGTTCCCTACCACAGCCACAACATACATGGAGCAGAATGGGAGGGAAATCCACATGTGCATGTCCTCCAGCCCTGGGATCCCATTAGGAATGAATGAAGCTGGTGTCAGTTCTGTTTGGTTCAGCATCATTATGACCAGGCTGGTATAATCATTGAGCAACTTACAGGACTTTTGTGAGTTTTTGTTTTCTGATTCTCCAGTGCGGGGGGCCACTCATGACCTGAGGACTGCCGAGCACAGAGGTTGGGCCTAAACTCCCACAGTGCAGGGCGTCAGGCTCTGAGGTTGATCTCTCAAGGATAATCTCTGTCCCGCCACCCCTTTGAGGAATGTGCCAGGTGCATTAAGGCCTGAAGGAACATCCTGAGCTATTAAGTCACTAAGGACCTTTGGAAGGAGAGATACAATCGGCACGCAAGTTAGTGATCTTAGCCTGAAGAACAATCACCTGAGATAATAGTACACGAGTCACGATGTTAGCTTAGAGGAACAATACCCTAGTTTATGATCTTGGTTTCAGGAACAGTTAATCTTAGTTTATTGAGAACTGTAAACAATAATGATGTCTGTAACAATATACAAGTTAATGATTTTAGTACACGTTGTTAATGTACCCTAAAACAATACCTTTGCCTACATGCAGGAATGTATGAGCTAATGGGTTAAAATCATATAAATTTACTGCTGGAAATAAACTCGTGGTCCACTCTTGACCTAGCGTCTTGCGGGCTAAAGTGAGACCCTCTCAACCCCACCTTTTAGTCTTGTCTTTCTTTCTCAGTCCTGCAGCACAGGTTTTCTGGACCTGATCGATTGTCGGCAGGCTCCAACACTCCAGGACTAGAGAAAAAAAAAAAAAGAAAAATTTTAGTTGTGCTCTCTCTCCTACTCTCTGTTTTTCTCTCTCTCTGTCAAATAGGCACTTTAATATTAAATAACCAAACATATTTGACAGGATACTTACTTAAATAGTTAAAACTGAGTATGTATTTTTTCTTAGTTCATTAATGTATGAATTCATTCAAAAAACTCATATTTAGCACTTACTATGTCCCAAGTTCTATAATGTATGTTGTTTCCTCATCATTTTGAAACAAAATGACATACATTAAACTCTCATAATTTTATAATAGAAGGTAATTATATTGTGATCTTCTTAATGAGATTTTTGTTTGAATGTTTTATTTAAATGTTAATTGCTATACACATCTCCCTTTGAGTGTTTTCTTAAGACAAAGTTTATAGATCACCTCTCCAATGAACAAACAAGATAAGGATGTTTTATAGTTGTTATTACCTTTAATGGGTCATATTTCTGCTATACTAAATACTGTTCTATGAATTTTACAAATACTAACTCATTAATCCTCACTACAAGCTCCAGAAGTATTTTTCATTAACCTGCACTTTATAATTGAGTAAATGGAGGCACTGTGTAGAGGAGGCTTCTTTATGCCTGGGTTGCTGTGCATTCAATACCAAAACTGAGCCTTTTCTGTCCACTTCTTTGTAATTTATTTTTTCTAAATTTTGACAGAGAACTGTGTGTTAGAAAGAAATAGTACCATTGGATAATGATGCAAACAAAAAACATCCAGCTCCATCATTTTGACTGTTGAAGTTCACCTTCCACATTTCAGCTCTCCACTAACAATGATTAACCTTTGAATTTCTAACTAATTTGTCTGCTTGCTTTTTCTTCCTTTTCCCTTTAAAGTTGTTTCTGAATGACTGATTAGTGTTTAATTTATGTTATCTTACTGCTTGCTAAGTCACATGATATGACAATTATATTTTCTTCCTCATTTAATATTTTTCCTTTTGATGATAATTTCCTTAGTATTGATGTAGATATGTCAAAAAATTTTAACTAATTTTTAGAGTTGAAAAACATTTTTACTGTTATTTCTTGACAGTTAAACACAATCTATTAATGCTAGTCCTTCCCACACCATCTGTCAGTTTCTGGGAAGTCTCTGAAACACAACTGTTTTCTAGGTTTGATACATAATTCTCATCCAGAAATTCCTCTTTATCTACCGTTTGTGTTGCAACACTATTTGTGGATCTAATATTTCTTCTTTCTATATTTCTGACTGCATGGAAAATATGTTTTTGAGAGTATCAATGTCTGAATATGGTTTATTCTTTTTATCATTTTGCAGGATCAAAAATTCTAGGTTAACTCTTACTTTCCCTCAGAACTTTTAAGGCATTTCTGTATTATCTCCTAGATTCCAGTGTTGATATTAAGAGGACCATTCTGATTCTTGATCCTTTGTATATGAGCTATTTTCCCTTTGCATTTCTTCGTTGTATGTTTTTTGGCTCTGAACTATTTAAGAATATTTAAGAATTTTTCTGCTTTGCAATTTAATGGTCATACTAAATGTGTATGTGTGCCTGTGTATGTCATTGTGAATACAGTAAGCTTTTTGAGACTGGAAATCTATAATCTTTGCTTTTGGGACATTTTAAAATCAACTTTTGATAATTTCTTTCTAAGTTTTTCTTGTTATTTTTCTACAACTCCTTTTACTCAGATATTGGTTCTTCCGAATGTATTCTCTTTTTTTGCCCCTTAAAAATTTTTTCAAGCAAAGAATGCTGAAGTGATCCTAAAATCTTATAGCAAAACTTGAGGGAGAAGTGGTATTTCCTTTGAGAGTTTAAAAAACCTTCAAAAATAGCTATATTGATGATCTTAATGTACTAAGAAAAACAGGGGCAAATCACCTACGGCAGTATTTTCTGAGTTTAACTACAGAGCTACAAACTTGAGAATATTTTCAAATCATGGTATTTAGTAATCAAAGAGTGCAGTTTTGTTAGGTATTTGTCAACTAAATGATGGGTAAATCAGCTTAAAACATATTTGAGACTCAAAAAGTATTTTTAATTTTAAGACCTAAAGAAAATAAATAATATACTTTAATTTATTAAGAAGCAGGAAAAAACCTTCTTTTTTAAGTTGCATCTATTTAACTGATCCTCTTTCTAGAAAAGTTCTTCAATTATGTCTTTCAAATATCTAGTATTTTTTGTTTTCTAGTATTATAAATTTTGAAGATTTTATTTTCTCTCATTTATTGTGAATATACTATACATTTATAAATGCATTTATATACATAATATTTTGTTTCCTGAATATTATTTTCTTAACTTCTAAATTTTAACAATTTATTTTTATAACTTGTTTATTTTTTATCTTTTATTTTGGAAGTGTCTCTCAACCATCTGG